TATATATATATATATATATATATATATATATATATATATATATATATATATATATATATATATATATACATATACATACTGCAGCATATCAAAAGGTCGATCTTCCGCATCAAACACTCTATTAAGCCTTTCCATCAAGAGCCATCCTTCAATTGTGCCCATATCTGGACAAATAAACATGAAGATAATCAAGGGCTTGTTTTGCATCACTTTGTCGAGCATAGATCTCATCGTTGATTTTATCCTGTATCAAATGTCTGAGGTCCGCAAGAACGAAGTTTTCATCAGATGGAACGTAATCGTCGGGGCGGGCCACAGGTTACCCTCTAAGCGGTAATATTTGCATATATACGGTTTCAATCGGTACGATTTCATCAGTAAACTCTAAGTATATCATCGCACACTTGTCACCGAGTTGCGTAGCGCAGTGAACCACATCTGGAAAAGTATATCTTGCCTATAGTTTTGTGTATGCCTGAAATAAGCCAATACGTCATCCGAAATCCGCCCACTTACAATTCTACATACGAATGCCCGTTTTTCTACTATACATTAGTTCCACGCTAGCATTTGTAAACACCAACCCCTCTTGGTCACCTTCCTAAGTTATGGAATCGATCTTACCACCCAACAGATCGAAAACTTTCTTGACACGAGTATGCATCAAGCTTTGACGAGGTACAAAACATGGTACCCGTTTATGTACGCAAATACCGCCTGCCACGCTCCGTTTTGAGCATACCTCTGTATGTCTTCCTACGCGCTTCAAGCACAGCTACAACTGCCTTCTTTGTATCAGCAGTATCGATACATAAAGCATCGTCACAAACGAGCCACCAATAGTGCCATTGATATACGTGCTTCTCTAACAGATATTTGATCCATAAGATGGACGATATCCTACAACACGTGTCGATATACTTGCAGCAGTGCCTCCGGTGGTTCTGGATAGTCATCTTCATCGTCACCACTTAAATATCGTCGTACATTGTGTCATCCCCGCCACTTTTGCCTCAGTTTCTCCATCAACAACTAAATCTTCATCGTTATCACTAAGATCGACCTCAGATCCTGAATCACAATCGGTATCAAAATCACTATCCTCGAAATCCTCTTCATCTTCTGCAGTTTTCTGTTTGAATGCCTTAGCAATTCCAATTACCATTGAAACTTGAATATAAAATCCAACTCGAGTGTTATAACCCAATAAAGACATTAGTACTGGCCTCAATCTCGCAATTAGAGCCGATATAAGTTCTCTCTAGAAATCTCCTGACCTTTTTACTACCAACCACGACCTTCTCTTACCCCTCCCTATACTTTCAAAAATATCAAGTTATCCATAATATCATATTTATTATTTTACGCAATCAACGTTGTACAAAATAATGACTTCTACAAAATTTCACATGTACGTTGTATTTATATTTACATATGTATTTACGAAGTACAACAGATGAAATTCAACACCTCATAACTCATCATGTGAGGCTCTTCAAGGTGAAAGACCATTTTTCAAGAAATGATTTTTATATATGTCGGATGGTCCTAAATACGACCTACGGACCCGTATTTAGCTGGTCGCCTGCCGCCTGTAATTTTTTTTATTAAATGAATATGCATAGCCTGCTAAATTTTTTTAGTAAATTTGGCGGCAGGACTGACCCTATTTAACGGGCCTAAATAAAAATACACACTCAAAATAATAGTAAATATACAGGTTAGTCCGTTCAGCCATATTTTCTTTCTTCTCTAGAGAGGGTCATGATATACTCTTTCTCTCTTGTTGGTGTGTGTATTTTATATATGCGATAAACTTTTAACGTAAACGCAAAAGGTTTTGTTTTTTTAAAGCGTTTTAAAGTATATCGGGGGCAAATCGACCATGAAAATTTTCCAAATTTGCACCTGAGTTTTTAAAAAAATAGGACAATTCGTGACAGATAGGCCGCCTGAAAAAATGTACCTATTTGTATACCCATAGGACTATATTTAAGATAAACTTTGAACGCAAACGCTTAATTCTTTGGTTTTTTTTTGCGTTTTAACGAGAAACGTAATGAGGATAGTTCTGCAACTCTGCACTGTGACTCAAAACTGAAAACTCTGCAGTGAAGTCTGCCCTGTCTGCAGTCTCAGAGTCTGCACTCTGCACTGTCTGCAGTCTCAGAGTCTGCACTCTGCACTGTCTGCAGTCTCAGAGGCCGCACTCTGCACTGTCTGCGGTCTCAGAGTCTGCACTCTGCACTGTCTGCAGTCTCAGCCTGCACTCTGCACTCTTAAAAGTACTATTTATGTATGTAAAATACACCACACGTCTACCAGTGACATCGAGTCACACTATATGTATGACAATACATATGAAAATATGAAAATACCATGGCTCACCAATGAAATATGGGATATATAGAAGTAGGAAGTATATTTATATCACCATTCACTAGTCCACACTTCACATCGCGAACTCGGAGATTCTCCGAGTTTTAGGTATTTTCGGTACAATTTGTCGAAAATCAAGAGATTTGTTAAGACTGCGACCACTATGCCGGCACTAACCCATTCCGCGGCACTACACGGCGCAGATCCGATCCGTACCACTGAGGTGGGTACTCTACTTAGTAGGTCAGCAAGCGAATATATGGAAACACACTCAGCACATATCTTCCATTGTCGACTCACTTGGCCCAAGCTTCAAACGGGAATTTACTGACCACTTCTTCCCATCAATCTTTCCTGAACCACTACAGCGACTATGAGAGCCATACCATATGTTCATACATTGTATCATACATACTTGCCATTTTTGAAATAAATAATATTATCCCTATACATATATACATACATACATGTTTATATACAAACATATATACATTTATACCTATATTTATATTTCTATTGGCTCATAAAACCTTTTGCACTTTTTTTATCCGCTTAGTGCTAAGACTTTTCCTATTTTTTGTGTCCGGAGGACTCCGAAGTCCGAACTGAGTCCCTATTTATATACTCTAAATAAAACCTGTCAGTTACGAGTTTTAGTTTTTAAATTTTTTTATGTGGGAAATATGTGTGCGGTGTATTTGCGGCGTCTGTATGACAAATCCGCACATAATTCCTACATATTAAAAAGAATGTGAATAAAATATATTCAAAAAACTGTTATATATCAATATGCTTTATCCAGGAATATATCAATATGCTTAATCCAGGAATGGTCTGTGAACGACTTTTTACATGCGTATGTACCAAAATTGAACACGGACTACTATGGTAACCCCATAGTGTGTATCATACCTCAGCGCAACGCTTGCAAACCCGCTCAGATATAACCAACTGGAGATCTTTAATGACAAACCATAGAAGCTGACAAGATACCCAATATTCTTGAGACACCGTCAGCACAACAAGCAAGTTGCACAATAGTACAAGCTTCGTCAAACCTTGTGTTACACCACTATACATCCCCTCTATACAACAAGTAGCCCATCTCAGCATGAGCCCCATCAAAGATATCGCAGAGGGGAGCTCTCCTGTGGGTGATGAGGAGTCTGTTGCCTCGGGAAATGAAAGTGATATGAAGAACGACGATGGCGGGGGCGAAGGCAGGCGGCGCAGACGAACCTTTGCCGAATTGGATCGGTCGTACGTTTGTGAACACCCCAACTGCGGTCGGCCCTATGCTTCCGAGCACTCACTGAACCAGGTATACTACGAAGGGTAGACAAGCAGTTTTATTTATTTGACTTTATCTTGGCTTTTATTTTTTAAAGAGTTCCATAGCTAGTTTGAAGGAGTTAGTAGGAGCGGCATTGAAGTTTCCCTGCCCGATTCGTCGCATTTATCTCCCATGTTCATGGTCAGCCCTTTGGCTGGTCTGCTGCAATCTTTATTTTGCTTTGTATATTTTTATTTTTATGTTCTCGTCTTTGACCTGAAAAGAAATCACAATGCATTGTTGAAGCTCTTGCTGCGTATGTGTTGCTTTTCCCGCCCAGTTTACAATGTTGTTCCCTTGGAGATTCCCGTTGCGCGGTCTACAATTAAGTATAGTGTCCACTCTATTTTAAAGTGTTCTGTCATATACGTATATGAACTACGCCTCTAATAGCTGAATACCGATTTTGATATGCTTGTGTAGTCGTAGTGTTTGTCGTGTTTGTGTGGGCAAAGCTGGCTAAGACCGTGCTGGGCTTAGTTGATACTTCATATCGTCACAAGATTTCAATTGCGGACGTGCACAGATATCATTTGTCTTGTTCTTTGATATTGAAAGTGTCATCTGGTCTACTCTTTGACTGTATTTTGAAAACATTTATCCATCGACCTTTAAATTTCGTTCAAATCAACTCCCAGCATGTTCGCTTAAAGCATGCATCACGCAGCCCTGCCCGTCGAAGAGGATTAACTCTCCCGATGTACATGCCACTACCAAATCAAAATATACCCGGTATGCAAGGTACGATAGACTGGTAATCTTTGCATACCTAATACATCAGCAAGTACACCTTTGTCGGCAACGGTGTGGTTCTGCTTCAATGTTACTCGTTTCTGCGCATGAGACTGTCTTGTACAATTCTCCTGACTATTTTTGAAACAAGTGCGAGGCGTTTCTTCACAGATTCGCCGGTGTACATTCGTTGGTGGTGTTGTCACTTTATCATTTCTTTGCTATTAATGTATCACTCATCTCTCCGTGTCCGCAACAGTTTTTCAACAAATTTGGAAACAATTTAAGCTTCGGTATAAACTGTTTTCTACGACGCAGCATGACTGTACACATATATACATATTTACACAGACGTGGTGGAGCTCGCCTATCTTTGACAGGACTTATAGTACAAAACCAACGCGTTTGAGCTACGTCTTCTTCTTGGGTCTTCGCATTACAATTAACTGGCCGATAATTTGTTTCGTCTTAATTTGTTTCGTTCACTTGCAAAATCCAGAACAATGTGAACTTATAACCCTGTCCTACTTACAGTTGTATTGTCGAATGCTCTAATGTCACTTGTTTATTTTGAGGATGTTTGAATACGTCGGAAACCTACAAAAACATCCATAGAATAATCGTGGATATATACTTTTTATTGGCAGAATGCTGTGGATTTTAATGTATTTTTGCAGTTTGGTATTCCATCTACACATATTTGGTGCGTACTTTGTAGCATCTTAAGATCTCGTTCAATGAAATGGCACTTTCTCGCGTGACGACAGTCACACAAGATTGCATTGCTCTTTACTGACAGGAGGCCCACCCGTGTCTGTCACAGAAACAATTGCGCATTCGCCCGCGTTAGGCCGGGTGAGAGGCATGCCGTACAACAACCCCCGTTTTCCCCTTGCACGACACGGCAGTCTGAAAGATTGCCGACTGAACGTTGCGACGGGCGAAAGGGTTCAGGGAGGCGCAATGTCGGCGCATGCCGGCGACACCTTGTAGTAAGTGACACGTACTAGTCCATTTTGCCGAGTTCAAATATATGTTGTATTCGTGGCACAGCACGTGATAGATTGTGCTTAACTGTTAAGATCGTGCAGCTATTCCTTTACGCTAAGGTGTGACTACTTCTGTTTTCGTTCTTCGCCGTGTTCTGTTTCCGTTTGAGAGCGCATGTTTTTGGATTTTCTTCTCTCGACAAGTGGCAATAATAGCTACATCAAGAAACACGATACTTTGGCTCTTCTGTATTCTGGTTTTTATTTTGAGAGGTACAAATGTTGGTATCCTCCCTCTGTCCGTATACAGGTTATTTTTATTTGCAAGCTTCACGCCCAACGTGTGCAAATACACTACGGAACATAGTAGGTAGAAAGTCAATTTATTTTTTTCTCGTCTTTTACTTGCGGCAAAGATCAGTACATACCTATATATATATATGTATGTATGTATGTGTATGTATATATATATATATTTGTAGATATATATATATATATATATATATATATATATATATATAGTTTATTTATTTATTTGTTGTTGT